TGACAGATGAGTGACAGAGTAATGGCCGGTGGCAGTAAGCGAAGCAGCAACCAGGCTTCTGGCTCCCGGACAGGAAATCCACTCAGTCTTGGCAGCAGGAACGCAGGCAGCATGTCGGAAAAGCCCACACACTTCCTGAGTCGTACAACGCCAAATACTCTCCCTCCGAGGTTTTGTGCTTTCGCTCCACTTGTTCTCTGTGTTTTCTGTTACATGCAGCAGCAGCACAAAGCCAAGAGGACTTTCCCTCCTCCTGCACATTAAAGACTCCAGACTCTGTAACACTCTGCAAACCAGGAACTCTGGAACCACAACACAACTCGGTCACACACATGAAAAGGAGAAAGGAGAGAAACTGGCGCCTCCTGAGTTGTATGTTCTGTGAAAACACATCCATGTCGGCCCGATAATGACAGAGTGAGCGTACGAGGTGCACTTTACTTCCCCGAGGCGCGACATAAAAACATGAAACATGAAACAGAGGAGAGATGCTTTGAATCACATCATATCCCACTAACATGGTGCTTAAAGACGCAGTAATAGATCGTTTTATATTAAATTGCTCAAATAACTGTGTGTAATATAGAATGTGCTGCTTCCAGTTAAAAAAAAACACATTAAAACCTGATGTTGGTCCTCTCAGGTCTACGGAGCCTCTTTAGTGCATCTCAACTTATTTAATTAATCAGAGTTTATTTATGCAGCACGTTTCATGCAGATTAAAACCGAATTTTAAAAAAAAAACTCCATTGCATTAATACTAAATAAAAATTTGAACTGAGGAAGTGAAAAATTGCTGTCATTCATACACATATAAATAATAATAATAATAAATTAATAAACAAATTGATAAATAGGAAACACCAGAGGAAGCATCATTCAAAATTCATTTTTAAAAAAAGAAAATAATATTTTAAATAGTGATAAGAAACATATTAAATAGACTAAAATATGCAACTAAACACAGAAATTAATATATAAAATTGGTTTTTGAAACACTGATAGTAAAATTGTAGAACTGGCACTATATAGATTTTTGAAAATATTATGAATGAATAAATAAAAAAATAGGAATAAAATTAATAAAATCAATCAAAAGTCAGAATAAAAAGGTTTCATGTCCGACCACTTTGATGTTGTTAATTCACTCTCTCATGCTGCTATCAGTCCTGTTTCAGCGGCAGGAGGAGGCACTGATTTAAATAAAAATAAAAACAGACAACTGGTGAACACCGTGCAGCTACATGAGGTCAGAAAAGAGCGACAGAAATATTGTGATTATTGGAAGAAATGTTAAATATCAGACAGTTTTCTAACTGCTGCTTCATGTCTGTTGCTAACACATCAGCCTTCATAACTTGTGGTTATTTTGGTTTCTGAGATGTTTCAGGATGTAAATATAGAGACGTAAACTTAAGACAAATGACATTTTCACAAAAACATCACAAAGCTGCACTGATGAGGTAACATATGACCTTCTTCTGATGAAACTGAGCATTCAGACAAAACAAAAACCGTCTATTTAGGAATAAAACCAGCTGTATGTTTGAATCCAAGCTGGGCAAAGAGCTTACTACCATCTAAATAAGTGGATTTCACACTAATATTACAACCTTTTAATGCTTTTAGCTTAATTTATTGGGGTTTTCCAGCCTTTTTAAAGACAAATCCCTAAAACTAGTCTGTTTAAAGGTAACCAAGTTGTGTGCTGTGAATGTCTGACAAGGAGCAGGAAGGAAAAAGTTGTAAAAGACTGAAGGGGAAGGGTGTGACCCGGCCAGAGGAGGGAAATAAAGGGACGAGGACAGAAAAAGG